AGAAAAAAACAATTAGAATTTAATTAACTATTTTGTAGTAATTTTTTTTTATATATACATATATAAATGATAATATTTCTACTTAATTTATGTATTATATATATATATATATATTTATTTTTCTTTGCATTTGAAAACACATGTACAAAAATATCCAACATCAAAAATAATGATAAAAATATATATTATGTATGGATATGATGGTACATCATTAACAACAAATTTAGATAAATATATGTAAATATATTATTGACAAAAAAAAATTGGTAAACCACTACTACTATTTTTTCATTTACTTTTACATGTATTTGAGAAACTGTATTTATATTTACTAAGAGAAACTAAGACGAAATACTATTTCATTTTGTACGTGTTATGAAAAAAAAAAAGACAAAAAGAACAGTCAAAGGATTTCATCACACATCTTACATACATAAATTAACTTTAACCAGTTAAGTGTGTTTGACGACTATATCCGTCATGAAGATGTGTATGGCAAAATTTTGTATTATGACGTCTATATCCGTCATACGTAAAAGTTTGTTACAATTTGATGTTTAAATTGTAATATTGGCGTAAAACTAAAATATATTCGTAAATTTTAATATGTTTAAAATGTTTAGAGGTCAAAAAAAAAAAAGTCAAGAATAAATTTTTAACTTCTATAAATATTCGATTTTTTTCTCTAATTTTTCCGTTTATTATGTATAAATATATGTGCATATTAAGAAACTGTGTGTGTACATTACTAACAAAATTGTTCATTTTCTAAAATAAAGTCGTCTTTTTGACTATCCAATATTTTAACAACGCCACTTACTCTGTGTTTGACGACGACTATATCCGTCATCGCTTGATTATCGCGACACACACTAGAGCGCACTTTGCGCACAGATCGCCACACTTAACTGGTTAATATAAACTAGCAATAAATATTTGAACAATTTCATTGTAATGCTTAGGAATTAAAAAAAAAGAACACTATATAATAAGAAGATTATTCTCAAACAAAAAACTATTGAGTATAATAAATTTGAAAAGATGTATATTTCTATACTTCTCTCATAAATGTGTCTCTGTATGTCTTAAAGCCTAATTAATATTAATTCATAAAGATCATCATATTGAAATTATATTATACACATAATATATATTGATATTATTTTATTTAAACAAATGAAAAATAATATCTGAGTTATCCATATCACTGCCATTTGAAATAGTGTAGAAAAACATTGATCATCCAAATCTCAGTTATATTTCTTCATTTTGATCTGTTATTATATTGTTTAATGTTATGCACTTTAATATTTCACATAATGATGTTACCTATGAGAACAAGAACTAATATTTTAAGAATTGAGCAATTTAAATATTGTAAAACTGTTGATAATAATTTATTATTGCAACAGACACAAATTAATGGTCAATGAAAAATAGTAGAAGCTGTATGTAAAACAAAAAATAATCCTAAAATTATAATTATATATGTTTAAGATGTTTGTGTCAGTCAAACTTGTACAAACAATCGTTAAACGGGGAGAATTGATTATATTCATTTTATAATATAATAATATTCTATATAAAGATATTATTAAACATAAATTCTCATTTTTTTTTCACGAAAGTCTGTCTAATCAAATACGTACATATATATAATATATACTTTCTTGTACAATGCATTATATATGAAAACAAAAATGTATTTGCACATGACAAATAATTTGTACATAATTTAGTAATCATGTTGAAAAACGTAGTACTGAATACAGCAATGCACTTATTGAATATATGTATAAAATATATAATTAATAACTCTTATTGACATATAAGTACAAACAGAGTTATCGAACAAAATGATGATTCATATATATAATTAATATAATAATATATATATATTAATTCTCATTCGTGTTAATAATTATCAAATTTTCTTAATTAAACGAATTATAGTAATAGAAAGAGAGAGAGAGAGAGAGAGAGAGAGAGAGAGAGAGAGAGAGAGAGATGTAAATGTTAATATGTATACACAATTGTATATAATATACATAATATAAATCACATAACGTTAATGGTATTTTTAAACTCTAGGTTAATGATTTATTCAGAAGTATTGAAAAAGCTTCACTTAAATTAATTCATTGCTCTAAGTGTTAACGTGATACAAGATTCGTGTAGAATATGAAATGAACCAACAAAACTTACAATTTCCTTTTTGTTTCTTTATTAGGTAGATAAAATTATCTCCCTCTTTTTACACACCAATTATATCTCTTATATAATATATAAATATTCTCAGTTTTGTTTATAGTTTAACTTTATTCATATATGACTTCTACTATATTATCTTTATGTTACTTTGTTTTTATGTTCTCTAATAATTTCTTGGAACTATGTAATTTTTATAGAAATGTATTTCTTTATTTTTATATTTATTTTATTCTATTATTATATTAAAATTATATTGTAGCGTACCGTGTTACAATATATAAAAACATATTGAAATATACAATCATTACCTACTTATATATATATAAACTAATTCCCTTTTAGGAATATTATATCAAATATTAAATATATATATATTTAAATTTATGTAACTTTGTTCTTTACTGTATTGTAATTTATTTATAAAAATGTTGTATTGTTATTTTGTTGTTTAACCATTCTACTATTAAAACGAAAAATAAAAATTGAATAACAAGAATTTTGTATTCTTTTTCAAACTATTTTTAAATGTTTTTTTAAATTATTCTAAAGTATTATATATATATACATTTATTATTAGTTACTATTATTGTTCCCAAGAACACTGTTGAAATGTTTCCGTAAATTGACTTCCTGTTATAATATAATAATATTATATATAAATATATACATAAAATTGATTTATTGTAAATAAATTCATTAGTCTTACTTACAGTCCGAATTTCCTGATTATAAAGTTCTTGACAATTCTTTGTAAAATTAGATGTTTCTTCTTCTACCTTTTTTATAAGATCTTGAATTTTATTTTTATCCATAGATACGTCATTATATAAACCTTTATTTTCTTCAAATTGACTTAGTGCTAATTTTTTTTTACTATAAAAAAAATATTTACAATTATTGAAGATATACCATAACAAAATGTTGCATTTAAAATTTTTGAAGTACCTTAACAATTGTGAATGTAATTCACGAACTGTGTTTAATCTTTCTTTGGTTTGAACGTAAATCTCATCGATGGTAGATCCTTGATTATTTTCTTGATCTTTGTGTTTTTCTGTTAATTGTGTAATAAGAACTTGCATTGTATCAACTTGCTTTCGAATATTTTCACCTTGTACATTTTTCTTCCTATAAATTATACATACAATAAATTTTTATTCATGTTAATAAATATAATTTTTATAAAATACGAAAAGATATAGAAAACATTACTGTAAATATTCATATATATCCTTTATCTCTGAAATCTTTTCATATTGTTTTTGAACGAATGATAACAAATTCTCGTATCTTTTATCCAATTCATTTTTGGTCAAAAATGTTTTTTCCATCATTTTTTTCTCTTCAATTTTTTTCTTACGTTGTTCTTCTAAATCGCACAAACGTGTATTATATTCTTCCGGAGATGAAACTACTTCTAATCTTAATTCTGCTATTGTTTGGTCGAGCTAAAAATTTATATAAATATTAATTATAATTAATTAAAAATATAATTCTATTTTGTGTGTGTGTACCTTTTGAGCTTCAACTTTATGAGCATTATATTCTTCTAATATTTGTTTTCTTTTTTCTTCTGCATTCAATATTTCTTCTTGTAATTCAAGTTTTTTTGTTTCATTGTCCTCAATAAGTGAACGCATTTTTTCTATTTCTTTCTTGTACTAAAACATTTATATTATCATTTTAATTTGTTTTATATCTATCTATCTAATAAAACATTTATCTAACTGAATATTACCTTTTCCTTTAAGAATAATTGTTTAGAAATGTTCAATTTGATTTCATTTCTTAACTTTTGCCTATTATTCTTTTTTTCATTCAATTCATCCAACTGTTTAACTTTGTCACGTATTTCATTAATAAGACCTTCGATATCCATTTCTTTATTACTTACATAAACCATAAAATTTGCTAAATATCTTGCAATTTTACATATCCTTTTAGAACCTGTTTAGAATAATTCAATAAGTACAATAATAATACAATAAGTATAATATATAAAATTGTACTTACCACCGCTAGTAATGTCGCTTATACAAAAATTTTGTATAAATATTCTGTCACATATTTGTTTTATTGATACATGTAAATTAATAATGCTTACAATATCAGTATCCTCAATACTTGACATTGCTAATTGTTGTTCAAAAGTTGGTTTATTAATTACATCAACATCAATTTTAAGCCATGTTAAAAATGTTACAATTAAATTCATAACAAATTCCTCTGTAGGATTTTTAAGATCACGTATGCTTGATGGAAAATTAATATCACGCAACAAATTTTGAAGTTCTTCCAAATCAGAATCCATTATTGTTTAGATTGATGAATTACAAATGATACTTTAAATTACTATAAACATAAATCTAATAGTTATATTATTTTAATTCATACATTCAACTATAATAACGACTAAAGTTTTGATTGAATTCAAATTGGTACTCGTTAGTGTTATTTCTATGAATCGGTGAGTTTCTATTTCATTCAATAAGATTGCACGAATAAAAATCTAACCAATAGAATGTCTTTGCAAAGATACGATAACCAATTATATTTGATTTTGACTTGAAACTGCGCGCGCATCTTTAACGTGTAATACATAATAAAAATTGTTAAAGATTTTAATGCTCTTTTTATTTTTTATTTTTCTTTTTATGAAATAATTACAAATATTTCTGAATGAGAATTGTTGATTTTTGTAATTAATATTAATTTTCGAAATAATTCGTTTTAAAAAGTAACCTATATATGTCATATGCATTAGCAGTGTGTACCACTTTCGTGGGTCCTCTCAAATACGTACAGTACTGTACTGTTAGATCAGAGGAAGAATTTGTATATATCAAAAATACAAAGTAAATCTGAAAATAACTTCAAAATATATCCAATACATTAATTCTTTACGTAATGTAAATATGTAATTTGAATTATAATTATAATTGATGCCATTGTACGTTAATGTTACACATTGACAATTGCAGTTGGTGAAAATATTTGGATAATCAACGACATATTTCATTTATCACAACTCTCAAGTTTAAAGTAACAACCTAAATAAAATGGCTGGAATTTGTCGATTAAGTGCATTAAATACATTAAGAAGAAGTGGTATGAATTTTTTAAAATCACAAAATATGTTATGTCGTTCGATAGCTACGTCACCTAAAAAAAATGATAGTACTACAAGTTTAGTTGAATCTACTACTGAAAAAAAGAAACCTTGGGTTAGCTATGGTTTTGATGAAGAAGATGAATTGGATGATAAACGTAAAATGCACGAATCATTTTTCTTTGCTGTCACAATAGGCATGATATGTGTTTCATATGTACTTATGTATAAACCTGATTTAAAATCAATGGGCTCTTGGGCACAACGTGAAGCATATTTACAAATTCGGTATAGAGAAGAACATGGTCTTCCACTCATCGATATGAATGTAGTAGACCCTGCTAAAGTTATTCTTCCTACTGATGAAGAATTAGGTGATACCGAAATAATTATTTAAAAAATTATACAATACTACTTTGGACAATACGTATTAATGTAGTTATGTCAACTAATGAACATTGATAAACCATACTTTTGGTTGTATTCAATGATGTTTATGTAACATGTTATGTATATAAACTATAATAAAAATAGTTTTCATAAATTAAAAAATATTATAAGATATATCCTTGCTATTAGTATTTTAAATTGATTACATATTCTATATTAAATATTTCATTTTAGTTATCAGTGAAAAATTCTAATTTTCATTTTTATAAATAAATAATTAATCTTTCAGAGTATAATTTTTGGGAAATATATAAAAAGTATTATTATTATATGCGTTGGATAAAAGTAATTATATTTTTATCATCAGTTGATAAAAGTAACAATAATTTCTATTATGTAAAAATATCGATATTACATATTTTGTCAATTTATGAAAATCGTATTTAATTATAAAGCGATAAGTAAATATTTAGATTATTAAGGAGTGTGTACGTGTGTGTGTGTGAGAGAGAAAGAACAAATATTATTTTTTATAAATAATATAACGTATCACTAGATCCACTGCGCGATATTTTTTTTTATGCAATTTTTTTTTTTTTTTAATTTTATTTAAACGTATTCTTTTAAAAATTTTGTTAAGCTAATATTTATGTACAATATTAAATATTTCATATATATATTATGATGTGACATTTGAGACACATAATAATTCTTATCAAAGATACAATCTTTGTGACATTGATGATCTATATTCGCGTACAAATAGTTAATGCATTGATTTAATATTGCATAATATATTCTATTTTATTTTACCTACATATAGAATATTTTATCAAAGGGCAAATAAAGATTGCACTTGAAGCATCAGAAATAATTGTTACTGTGTCGTTACCGAAGTAGGTGAGGATGGAGTAGTAGTAGGTAATGGATTCTGATGAAGAACAGAGGAATAAAAAGAAGGATTTTGTGGTAGAGTTGCATTAACGGTAATAGGAGGCATTCCTGGTAATGAAATAGGTGTTGTCACGAGTTGGGATTCTTTCACATTGAAAGGTAATGAAGAAATAGTATTTGGTGCACCCGGTAAATTATAACTTTGCATTGTAATTGCATGTGGTGTAGTTGTTAATCCTATCGGAACATTTCCTTCCATAGAATACGATGAAATAGGTGGACTTGTTGGCATCCCAGGAATGTTTGGACTATCTTTATAATGAGAAATATCGGTACCTAAAAAATCATGAATACAAATTAAGTATTTTCAATGATAGTAATATCTAAATAAATTTGCTTACTAGATGTAGAAGTAACGATAGGTTGATTAGAGGAAGGATGAATCGTTGGATTAGTCGTAGTAGCTCCAGTATCAGCAGCAGGATTTGTTTGTGATAAATTAGGATGCAAAATAGCTTGCGACGTAACGACTGTTTCATTTTTACTAGTATTATCAACACTCGTAATATAATTTGGAGGAATTGAGAATCCAGGTGGTATGCTTGTAACTGGGGTAGTTGCATTTGTTTGCATTTGATTGGGAACGGTAGTTTTTACGTTAGACTAAAAAAGATCAAACAAAAAGAAAATGTGTGAATGTCTTTAATATTAAATTGAAATATATTAAATAAATTAGATTTTCTAAATAAATTTAGAAAATCAGTACTCAATACCGTTGGGTAATACGACGAATTACGTGGCTTAGTGGTTCCAGGAGTATTTCTGATAGGTATTCTATGCAAGTATCCATAACCAATTCCACATCCTAAACTACAATAACAAAATATCTTTTTAATGCTTATGCAAGTTCCTAATTCTTATTTATTTTCATATTAATATCCTTTTTTAAAGTACCTTCCTTCACCACCCCATGTATTGTTAGGTGTAATAGTAACTTCTCTACAAGAATCATCTTTCGTATTATATACGTATAATTTTAAAGGTCGAGACTCATGAGCTTCTATCAAGGTAAATAAATCTTCACTTTCGTGTAAAACAGAATCTGCTCCAATGATATAATCTGTGAATGGACGTAAACCAGCAAGTTCTGCTGGGGACGAAGGATGCACTTCCTAAATATAAAATTTAATTCAAATATAAGAATGATTTAATATCATTCAATTTGTCACATCATTCATTTGTACTTACAAGCACATGCCAAACATTTTCATTAGCACCCTCAAATGAACAAAATCGTACACTAACACCAAGAAATCCTTGTCCACCCCATGTCATACTAGGTACAATAACAGTATGACGTACAGATTGTGTTTTACTACTATATACGGTAATAGTCACTTCTTTATCAACATTAGCTTTAAGAAGGTCTTTTAATAGATGATTATCTTGATCCTAATAGAAAGATCATTGAATATTATTATTATTAGAATTGTTCATATAATTTAATTTAAAATATCAACATACCAAACGAGTATTTCCAATGGATACAATAAAATCAAAAAATGCTTCCAAGCCAGCTTTTTGTCCAGGAGAGTCATCCTGAACCTAATTGTATCACATATTTTAACTGACAGTAGAGTTTCAAAGTATTATTATGCTTATTAATACACTATCTATTTTCTTTTTATCAATTCTACTTAATGAAATAAAACATTGTTTACAAATTATAAAGTAATATCTTTTTAATTGATAATTAATAATTGAAAAAATGTTTGTGAAGGGTTTTGAACATTTTCTGTCAGATCCAGTCTTACCCTTAATACATGATAACCTTCTGTACCACCTCCAGGTATTTCAACGCTATGAGAAGATCCCATTTTTTTATAAAAGATTTTCCCAAATCACTTGATTTCCAACGAGTAATAACATGAAAACAATTATTAGTTAAAATATTTTTTTTCTTTAATAAATACTTAATAAAATTACGTGGCAGTATATTCGTAAGAAGTTTTATGGTGACGTTAACAACCTATAAACTTTAAAGTAAACGAGACATCTATCGAGATGACTTTTAATCATTTTATGACAATTTACCTTTTGATCAATTTTATCATATTAATATTACCAAAAATACTTTTGATTTTTGTATGAACATTATTGTTATTTTCTCTTTAGTATTAGTATGTCATATGACTTTATTTTTATTTAACTATATAATTATAATTGGCTACAATTTGGACTGGTTTATGCCATTAAGTTGTCCGCTTCAATACAGTATTGACATATAACGTTTCTTAACCTGTTTTATTACTATAAATCTTATGGGTCATATCCACAATTGTAGTATTTAAATCTAGGAATGTGAAATAGAAATTAAACTTTGATGTATGGTTGTATGGTAAACGTTTTAATGACTTGCACAATAGAAAATCTCGAAATTGTCCCTAAATGACTTGCGCGCGTCTCATGTCAAAATTTTATTCCCTAGAATGTCAAACTTTGCAAGTTATCGATTGTGTTTCTAGCCGTTGCTACGAGTTGTCGCTGTCTGCGTCATTTGGTTCTAGGAACTTGGCCGCTATATTTGAAATTTTGTATTACGAAAAAGTTAAATTTATTAAGTGTCAAAAGGTATAATTAAAAGAAAGATTATTTGTTGTTATAATAGAAAAAGTTGAAAGGTAAATGATACGATTAAATTAATAGATTAATAATTATTAAATAAATTTTAATATAAGAAATAGTAATTTAAGATATTTTAACTCTAGGAACTTTTCTGTTACTGACGATTGAAATTATCGATTTAAGTATTTAATATTTATCATTAGATTAATATTAGATTGACATATATATGGAAAACTAAAATTTCAAAACATAATACATAAGATAAGACAGTATCATTAATGGAAATATGTTTTTATGCAAATTTGCAAGAAAAATAATCTGAAGTTAGACACAGAAACACAACCGTGATTTGAAGTTTTTGCATTCGATATTATCGTATCGATTATACGCCTCTGAAACGTCAAGCAGATAATTTTGATAGATTTTTAATTCCTTAAATAATGGTCTTATAAACCGGTTGATATATTATTGCATAAAAGTTCATTCAATTGTTACTTGTGATATTACAAAATGGCTGCGTGGGTACCATTAGAATCAAATCCCGAGGTAACAATTCATTATTTTATATATTTGACATTTGATTATACATTTGGCAGAAAATAGACATTCATATTTCTTTTGTTTATTTCAGGTTATGACAAAGGTAATATGTCTAATTTTATTGTTTAGTAGTTGGGGTGTGTTTAAATAATTTCAAATTTTCTAACGGACACTTTGTTTAAGAGAAGAATATCTTCTTATCAATTGAAATTAATTTATATTTGATTATTCTAACAATAATTCTATAGTCTTTTAATGATATTATAGTTTTTGCATAAATTGGGTGTTCCTGATCAATGGAGTATAACTGACGTCTATGGTTTAGAACCAGATTTATTGGCAGTTATTCCAAGACCAGTTTTGGCCGTTATTTTGCTTTATCCTGAATCAGTTAAGGTATATTATTATTTATTATAACAATTAAAGATGATATATTATAAATTATTCATTCATTTTATTATTAGACTGAAATACAAAGCAAAGAGGATGAAGAAACTAAATCTAAGGATAATGGAACGGATAGACCGGATGGGGTTTATCACATGAAACAAATTATTTCCAACGCATGTGGTACGATTGCATTAATTCATAGTGTTGCAAATAATACGGAAGAGTAAGTATAGATTCATTTGTGAATAATATTTTATATATTAATTAATAAGTATTATTAATTATTAATAAATATTTAATATATTAATATAATATTTAATATATTAATAAATAATATTTTAATATATTAATAATATATTAAAATATATATATATATATATCACAATGTTTTAATAGGATACATTTAAAGGATGGATTTTTAAAATCGTTTTTGGACGATTCAAAAGATCTTTCTTTTGCTGAACGTGGAGAACTTTTGATTAAAACTCAGGGTATCATCGATACTCATAAAGAATCTGCTCAGGAAGGACAAACGGAGGCAAGTGTTGTTAAAATGTCAATATAAAATTCATTTTTGTAAATTCGTGATACTTTTATATTAAAAAGTATCATATTCATATATAGGCTCCGGAAGAGGATAGTCCAGTGTACTATCATTTTGTTGCATTTATACGAAAGAATGATAAGTTGTACGAGTTAGGTATGTCATTTGTTTTTCCTCTTTAATAATAAAAATATTTGTGTGTAATTATAAGTTGAAACATTTGATCATTTTCAGATGGTCGAAAACCTGCTCCTGTCGATCATGGACCAACTACACGAGAAACATTATTGGAAGATTCTGTTCGTGTTTGTAAAGAATACATGGCACGTGATCCAAGCGAAATGCGTTTCACCGTTGTCGCCCTTGCCGCCAGTTATTAAAAGAACACTATTTCATTTTTCTAATATTCAAATATACACGTAAACAAACACGCTTTATGCTAATTTATTTTTTATGTTAAATAGTTCGCTTGAGGCTTCTTGCATTTCTAATATCTTTTTATTTCGTTTCAATTTTTTATACTATATAAACATGTAATAATCAAAATAGGAAAAAACCACTAATCATATATTTGTAGTTTTTCATTTAGATCTATCAAATCCTTTTAGATATAGCCTCTCTCTCACACACACACACACACACATACACGCACACATATTTAAATATACGTACATAGATAAGTATGCGCTAGAATGGTTCTTCTTTAATGCAAACTATTTGACCTTGTCGAACTTTGCGTCATAACTCTTGTCGTTTGCCAAATCTAGTTTTTGAATCTGTAACTTAATTCGAAATCAAGAATAAATATCTTTTAGTTTAATTATATTTATTCGTTTGTAATCAAATAGTTTAAATATTAAATGACTATTCTCGTGATTTTAAATTGGATATATACGAGTTTGTTAAAAAAAAAGAAAAAGAAAAAAGAAAACTAGTTTATACGTTTACTAATCAAATCAATGACTAAACAACACGATGTTGAAAGAAGAATCGTTCGTTACTGTGTTAGAGAGAAAAAAAGAAAAAAAATTCGAATAATCTCGTAAAAACGTTCCTTTGTTTCCATTATTACCGGAGACCGTAGAACTTACCGGTCACTGACCAGGTAGAGCAATACGCTTGCTTGGCTATTTTAGATTCCATTCCCAAAGTACGTATGTTGGCAGCCGACTCTAAATAGTGACTTTAAACACACAAAATAAAATCAATTCTTACACTCTCGGAGACTCGTCTTGTCGCCAACTATTCCTAACTGTACGACGAGTAGCTTCCGTAAAATTTAACTCTTGCTATTAATCTAATAATTCATATACGTTAATCATAAATCTTATATAATACAGAAAATAAAAATGTATACACATTGTGTTCGTGTGTGTATACATTTACGAATTAAATGAAATTAATCAAACGTAAAATATATATTTGAATAAAAGAAAAAGAAACGGTAAATAAAATTGGATCTCGTTAATTTTATTCCAAGGTAAAATGAAGAAATTTTTGTAAAATAAATAATTCAAGAGTTTATTTAAATAATTGAATGATATTAATTTTAGGAACATCAGGGATGCATCATATTGTGTGGGGATGAATACAGCCGATGATGTCATCACAGTGGACAGATGATATCAAGGATGAAATAATTTTTATTTATCATATCGAGAGGGAGAAAGAAAATAAAATTGATAAAACTAAATGATAATGGAGAAGTAAATATTATAATTATTCGATGTTAGATTAAATTCATAATACTAGAATATATATGTCATAAATATAATTCGTGTCAGATAACAAATGTGATTAATGTAAACAAGTAGTTTATTCTTTTGTAAACGTTGGTCATTAGATATTCGACGTGTAATCTATTAAAAAAGTATGAATCAGTTTAAGATTTCGTATTAATGGAAAATTTTCATAGAGATACCAATCGTTATGAATTGTGTCGATAATATTTACGTCATGTATCGAGTTTTAATTGAACCAATTAACTCTATTTTTATTTTCATTATCTTTCTACTTTTTGCAACAAATATTCTTTTGATTTTGACTTTTCTATTTTTTTGATGTAATATAATTTATTGTAAATTATCGTCATTATAATTGTACAAATATTAATTACAAACTTGTTAAAAATAATTGAAAAGTATAAACAATGTAGGATTAGATAAATATAATTGAAAAAAAAAGAGTAATTAATTTGATTTTTTTTTTTAGGAGTGTGAAGGAGTGGGGGGAAGGATTCACGGACTAAGGAGAATGGCAAAACAATGTTTTTCTTTCTTTATTCGTTCACAGGAGAATCGTCGTCTATTGCTGATGTTGCTGTTGGTGGTGCACATCGACCTGTCTTACCACTCTCGATGATGCCAAGAAACTGAATCGGAAACTCGAGCAGTTGCGAAGGTGCACGAATAAGAAAGTAAGGCGGGCTAATTGTAAGTATAGTGGTGTACGGTTTGCGCATCAGCTGTGCGTTCGTTTATTACTTTGGTTCAGTCTCACGGAAACATCCGAACGCGTGATACGTGGTTTTACGAGTAACGACGGCGGACGAGGACAATATCTTGCCGATATCCATGGGTTACCGGTTATTATATTATTCATTGAACAAAAACTTGGATTGAGAATTAAAACAGAAAAATAAACAAAGGTAAAATGATTACATTCTTTTTTTTTAACAAAAAAATCACCCCACTCCTGTTTTTTATGTTTTTTTTTTATTGTCCATTGTATTTATTGATGTTTGTGGTTTTAAAATATTGAAAAAGAAAATATGAAATTATTTATTATTTATGTTAGAAATGGAAATAACAACAAACATGTTTTTGACAAAGAATTTTAATTGTTTTTTTCTTTTTTTTTTTTTTAAATTAATTTGGCGCTCGTTCAAAGATTCCGAACGTTCATTGAAATGAACATCGATAGAATTGGATTTATGAAGTATGATGAAACGATATTATTGGCTATTAAAAAAAAATATATATATATATATATATGTATGTATGTATGTATGTATATATATAATAAATAAAAAAAACAAGGATTATTATTTGTTCGTGCACTGATAAGATGATGATTATTATTCGAACAACTTTTTCTTTTCATTTTTACGTAATATTGCACGCTAATGAATTTCACAATTTATTTTATTTATATTTTTTTTCTTATATTCATAATGAAAGATATTTTCCTACGATAATTCATACGCGTGTAAAAAAATAATTATTAACACAATTTGATTTTTGAATTCTGTTGTTCTTTTTCTAACACACTCAATTTCATTGAATAAAACATTCGTTTTCCGTTTTGACATAAGACGAGGAAGTTTTACTCTGTGTTTTACTGTTTGAGAGATAAGAAAACTCTTGTCTGACCAAATTCTTATTACATTTAACTAATCGTTTGAAAGAACTTTTTTGAATTTTGATATAGTGGAAAAACATCATGCGATACTTGAACGAAAAATTATAAATTATCATCATCATTATTATAATAATAATAAAATAATAATAATAATAATAATAATAATAATAATAATAATAATAATAATAATAATAATAATAANATTATTATAATAATAATAAAATAATAATAATAATAATAATAATAATAATAATAATAATAATAATAATAATAATAATAATAATAATAATAATAATAATAGTAATAATAATAATAATAATAATAACAATAATAATAATAATAATAATAATTATTATTATTATTATTATTATATTATATAATTATTATAATTATATTTATTTTTTAAATATAATTATAATAATTTATATATATATTTTTTAATTATTTTATTTAATATAATTAATATAATTATTTTTATTTATTATATAATTATTATTATTATTATTATTATTATTATTATTATTATTATTATTATAATTATATACTATTAGTATTATATTATTATTATATTATTTATTTATTATATTAAATAATATAGTAATATTATATATTATATTATATATTAAATTGTATATATAATATAGTAATATATTATATTAATATAATAATATATTATATAAATATATATGTATATATATATTTTAAAAATGTTATAGCATCTTTAATAATTAATAATTAATTATTAATTATATATAAATAATTTTTAAATACTTTACACGTTCCATTCTGTATAATAACAATAATAATAATAATAATAATAATAATAATAATAATAATAATAATAATAATATTTATTATTATTTATTATTTATATAATAATAATAATAATTATTATTATATTTTCCTGTATTATTCATATCAGTAAAAAAAAAAGATAAAAAAAATAACAAATGTCTCGTTCATGTAAAATTTGCTAAAAGAAAAGAATAAAAATAAAAATAAAATGAAAAAGAAACTAAACCGAAAATTTGAAAGAAACTTTTGGTATGACCTAATATATTGGATGGGGGATGAGGGGAGGGGTTCGAGTGGGGTTAAGGTATGAATTAATTAAAGAAAAATTTTTTGTATTACGATAAAAGGTCTTCCAAGGATAACTACTCTAGCTAGTGTAGTATTAAATCACGCTAATGATTGCGAATTTATAGACACGTAAAGATAACTCAGCACGCGTCTTGTGTGCGCATGCGCGTGCGCGTGCACGCGGATGCGTGCGCACGCCTACGATTATGAAAAAAAAGGAAAAAAGAAAGAAAAGAAAATAATTATCTTCTACTATACGTAGTTTGCGTTATTATTATTAATATTATTATTATTATTATTATTATTATTATTATTATTATTATTCAAAAACATAATATTTGCATAATAATTATACATATTATTATTGTCTCGATGATAATTCAAAATTGACTGATTATTATCATTATATGGGGTAGAAGGGGGTTATTGTGCGAATAAAAATGTTTGTTAGGATATTGGTTTTATTAATAATTTATTTGAGTAATTTATCAAATAATTAGAATAATAATAATAATAATAATAATAATAATAATAATAATAATAATAATATTAATAATTGTCTAATACTTATATAGTTGCTAATTGTTATTTTAATATATTATTTTATATAATATGGTAAAATATATATTTCAAAATAAATTTATATATATATATATATATATATATATATATAATATTATAAATTAAAATTATTATATATTATAAAATATATATTATGTAATAAAATTTAATAATTTAAAATATATATTTTAACATATTGTCATTTTAATTTTATAAAATACTTTTTATTTTTAAATATGATTTGATTTGATTTGATTAAATTTTATTTTATTTTATTTTATTAAAACGTACAATCACGTTTTTTGATTTCAATTTATGTTTTTAATACAAACTCACGTATAAATCATTTATGAAATTTTTTACCTTACTAAAACAGTAGGATGTCAGATAAAAAATAAAAAGAAAAAAAAATGTAAAAAAAGATATGTGCATTTAAAGATGATGTATATAAAAAATATATATAAAGAGTACCGTAACAGTCTGTTAAGAAAGGTTGTGTTTCTTATCGGTGATCATTTATATTTCGTTGAATGATACATCGTCATGTATAAAATGCCATGACAGTAATTTGATGTATCGGATAACAATTTATCGTTTAATTACACTTAACGAGTTAACTTCTTCTTATCAATATTGAGTGTCTACGTGTGTATACACTTTTTCTTTCTTTATTTATTTCACATATTAGTGAGATATTCCATTGACATGAGAGAGCAAAAAAAAAAAGAAAAAAAATGAGATAGAGATAGATAAAAAGAACTATACTATAATAAAATGATAATAAAACATATTTTATAATAATTTCGCGAAAGAGGATTAAAATCATGATAAAGATAATAATATGTGTACGTATGTATGTATGTGTGTATGTATGTATGTATGTGTTAGTTAAACGAATTAATAGTAATTTGTTTACTATTCGTACTTCATACTTTTATTTATTTATCGAATTATCAAACGATATGAAATATTCTAATCTTTCTAATTAAGATTATACGATTATTGTCTTTTGTAAACTTTGATTATGATAATACACACACACACACACACACATATATATATATATATATATATATATAATATAATTTTAATATAATATTATATTATGACGGTCAGTTTCAAGATCAAACCAAACATATACCACAATGATGAAAGTTGAGAACAGACCAATGTGATTCGTGGTTTGTGGTTTTAATAAAAAAAAAAAAAAAAAAAAAAAAAAACTAACGGTGAATAACCGAACGAATTTCTTTTGTCGATTTAATTCCTTGAACAGGGAGGTGTTTGGGGTTGTGGTGGTGGGTTAAATGATTAATTTATTATCCTTGAACACAAAAGGCATTGCCAATATTTACCTTCGAAATTTGTTTTTTTTTTATTTACGATTCATATACTCGTTTTCCGGCTTTTTTACTTTTTATCTATATATATATATATATATATATGTTTGTCGTGTTTATTTAGAAAGTTGTGTGTATATGTTTAATAATAAAAAGAAAGAAAAAAAAAAGAAATAAGTCCAGTATTAAAAAGATCAGATCAGATCAGATCAGAAGATCAAAGAATGAAAGAAAGAAAGAAAGATCGTGATCAAGAATATAATAATAATAATAATAATAATAATAATAATAATAATATGTAATTTATTATTTCTTATATTTTGTGAATTGAAAAAATCAATTCAACTTCTGAAATATAAAGTTCTATATATAGATATACACTTTTTTTTATTATTTTTTTTATATATTTATGTTTTCTATTATATTTATATTTTTTTTAAATATAATTATATTATCGTATTTTATTTATTTTTATTATATTTTATAATTTTTTGTTATATTAATATATTATTATATTTATATATTTTTTTTATATTAATAAAATATAGAAAAAAATATATAATAAATTTGTTTTTTTATTAATATTTTATTATATTTATGTTTTTTTATTGTATTTACCTTTTTTTTTTAAATATAATTATTTTGCGTATTTTATTTATTTTTATATTGAAAAAATATATAAAAATTATATAAGATTGTTATATATATATATTTTTTGTTCATATTCAATTCGTGATATTATATTAATATATTTTTTTTTGTATTAATATTTTATTATTTTTTTTTATTATATTTTATATATATATTATTTTTGCTCATAATGTTTTTTCGTGTTATTCCCTTTTTCAATTGATGATTTGTGTTACGTTGAAAAGAAGAAAAACAAAAATTTAATCCAAGGTTATTTTTCGATTCGATAGAAAAAAAAGAAATCGTTTTGCGAAATGGCATTAATAAAAATCTTTTTTCTTTGCCTTTTTTTTTTTTACCTTGACTCCATTTGTCCTCGATTAAAAAACCTTCGATATGATGATCATGATGATTATTATTATCATCGTCATTGTACTACTTTCTTTTAATTATATTCTTCGTTTTCGCACAGAAAAACACATACATATAATAAATACTAAAACGTGTGAACGACCTAACACATACATAAACGATGTTCAAAACACGTTTGATTTTCTACTTTGGCATTGTCGTCATTTTCGTATTCGTCGTAGGCTTTTTTTGGCCTCGTTCAAAACGTGTTCCCCTTCTTCAAATCTTGTTTTTGTTGTTTGTTAGTTAAAGTACAGTTAGA